TCGCTGCTTAATAGAACAAAATCGTTTGCTGAATGGAACTTGTAAAGAATGAGAAAAGAAAGTCAATGAACAAGTAGAAAAAAATTGTTCGTTTTACCATTTGAATCCGATTGCCACCAATTTAGTTAGACATATAAATTTTGGCGGTCTAGGCTGCACAGAGACTCTGCAAAATTTAATTAGAGAAAAATCTTTGCGAATAGAAAAGGAAAGAAAATTACAAGACGTTCTAACTAACTTGCAAGCAAACTTAGCAGTCGAAAGGGAAGATAGAAGCACGCAAGTAGCCGATTTACAAGCACTAGTTATACAACCTTATAAAAGATTACGAGGAAATGATTAAAGCTTTAATTACTATTAATTCCCCTGACGGTAAAAATAACTTTATATTCCATGCCAACTAAACCAAATGATAGTCTGCCTCAACCTTTAAAAGTTAAATGCTTTCAGTGTAAAAAAATCTTTGAGGTTAAATATGTAGTTCCTAATAAAGTCTATAGTAAAAAAACAATTGGGAATACTGGGCTAATACCCAGGCAGAAAATTCTCAGCTTTAGTAGTTTACAGAAGAAACAAAAATTAACATGAATATAGAATTATTTACTAAAGAATTAGACGAAATTGCTGAGAAAATAAGTAAGTTAGAAGTCCAAGAAGCCGAAGAAGATAATAGTTGAAAAGTCTGGCTTTGATATGGGAAAAACAATTGACCTAATGAAAAAGTTTGCCTTGAAAGGAGAGCTTCTTGGCAAAATTTAAAAAGCGAGATTGAAAGGAAAATCAATCTTATTAAAGAAATGCAAAATAGCGTTAGCACAGAGGAAAAGAATGCTTATTTCTTGCTTCTCAACAGATATTCTGAAAAACTAGGCAAAACAGAAGGGAAACTTAGAAAAATAGAAGCTCATTTAGTTAATGCGAAAAGCCAGCAAATTACTCAGTGAATAATTCAGATAATTTTTGGAATAATACTGATTATCTTGGTTGCCTTTGTGTTTTACTATATAGTTTTCAAAGATAAAAAATAAGAATTAGTTTATTTTCTCTTTATTATCACTAAAAACATTCCATTATTTGGTTATTAGAGCAATCTAGGACTTCTAAGTCAGGAAATTCTTTAATTTCTAAGGTTAAAAGGATTAATAAAATTAGTTGTAGTTTTTAAACTACTGTTGGAGAAATCTAATTTTTTTAACTCGCTAAAATGCGAGGTTCGTTAATTTTTTTACATAATGGTTTTTTGCTAAAAATAATTCGTGGCGAGAGGGTTTCAATTAATTCATTCGGTAAAATTGAGAGACATTAATCGTCTATTTTTTTTGATAATCCACTTTGTGACCACCAACCATAATAAAATAATTTCCATAATAATTCATCTGGGTTTGGCTATCGTGGCAAATTAATCCATCTGTTCTTAAATCCTGCTGACAATAATCGCAGTAAACTATTGGTTTTTGGCGTTTCATAATTTATTACAAATTTTAATATTAACTACTGCCTTTGCTGATACTCTGCTAATGCTTGTTTTAATTTCTCAATCTCTTTTAATAAGAGTTGCTTGTCTTCGGGCGGCAAATCCTTTTGCTGAATAAGAGTTTCCAGGTTTTTAATTTTCTCTTCTAAATTGTTATCTTTAAGCATGAAAAATTACCTATTTTTGATTATTATACAAAGGAACTCCTTGTCGGGCTTCAAATTGCTCGTTAACTTTATCTATCCATAATTCTAGTTGAGCAACCTTTTTACACTTCCTGCAAAATTTTTGGGCTTTGCTAACACTTATTCCTCTTTCAATCAAACCATCCCGAGTAGCAGCAATATTTTCTTTGGCAATATTAATATCACTGATTTTGTTTTCTTCCTGGGCAGACATTAATTCCCGATATCTTTTGCGTAAGTTTTGGATTTTCTGTAATTCTATTCCTAGTTCAGCCGCCAGCAACTCCAATCTTTCTTTTTTAGACTTTAACTTCTCTCCTAAAAAGTCTTTTTGGCTATCCCCTAAATTTCTTTTTAAGGCTTTAATCTCATCGTCTTTCTGTTTTAGCTCACTAACTTTTTTACTACTTTCTAATTTTAATTCCGCTAACCGATTAAGTAAATTATCTACTTTTTGCTGTTTTTCATCTAATTTATTCTCTATTCTTACTACTTGTTTTTCTTTATTTTCTAATAACTTGCGAGTATCTACTAATTGCGAATGGTAGTTTTCGGCTCGGGTTCGTAAACTAGCCACTTCCACTTGGGCTTTGGTATGCTGTGAACTTGCGTTGTTATGCTTGTTTACTAATTGGTTATATTCACCTACTAATTCATTGCGACAATCACAACTGTTTATTATATCAAAAATGTCTGATAAATGATTATATAAAGTGCTTTGGTTAATTCTATCTATCGTTTTTACCGTGTAATTCGTTCTTAATCGAGCTAAAAGAGCATCCACTTCATCCTCTCTTACATACTGGCCTAAATGCTCATAAAGATAAGAAATAGGATTATTTATTAGCCCAATTAAATTGTTTATTTTGTCTATTACTTGATTAGTGTGTCGGCATGTCATATCTTTTTTATTATTTATTTTTATTTTTAAGTTTGTATACTAAAATTGATAAAAATAATACAATTATTCCTAATATAATAATACTTCCTATCATTCAAGGTAAGTAATTGGGTTTTTTTGGTTGTGGCTGGTTACTTTGCAGTTGGTTATTTTCCGGAGAAGGATTATTATTACTTTGATTTAATTCATTAGTTTTAGTTTTATCGGCTGTTTTGTTGCTTGGTTCAGACTGATAGGACTGATTTTGTAATTCCTTTATTTTTTTCCTTATTTTTTTCAAATAATCTTGGTCTTTTTGACTAGGTTTTTTGCCTTTGGCTTTTTCATCCTCTAAGAATTTAAGAATCGTCTCAAGTTGTCTAATTTGGTCTTGCCGACTAGTTTTTGTTTCATCATCACCCTCTACTGGGAAATTTTGTTTTATTTGGAGCCTCCTCTACACTTATGCTAACACTTTGAGAAGTTGGATGATTAACTTCGGAACCTTTTTTTTCGCGCCTATCAACTACTTCTCAAATATTATCTATTATTCTTTCTTCAACCGCAACCACTTCTTCTAGGGTTTCTCCGGCATTATTAATTGCTTCTTTATAATTGCGGTTAACTGGCTCTAATTCTTCGGCTCTAACATTATGCTTTTTTAATTTTTCCTCTATGCTTTTAATCGAGCCGTTTTTAACTGAATTACTTCCCTGTTTTTCTTGCTCTTCCTCTTTTTTTCTTTTTCCTACTTCTTGAATGACTGAAATCATTTTTTCCCGAAAAGCATCTATCTCCTCAAAAGGCAAGTTTCTAATTTTTTCTTTTCAATTTCCGTAGGGAGACCATAAATTAGAGTCTAAATCATTTTCCGTTACTCATATATATTCCATAAACTCATCAATTATTAGCAATATGCTAAAACTTTGCATCTGGACGGTTAGCATTTGCTTTTTTAATTCTTCCTTCTTCCTCTCCGCTTCGGCAAATTCTCGTCTTATCTCCTCGGCATTAGAAGAAGCATCACCTCCGCCGGAGTAGTTTAGATTTTCAAACTCTTCACCATAAATATCATAAAGATTTCTGGTTTCGGGGTCAGAAAGTATTTGATAGGCTTTGCTGATTTCCTTAAATTTTGCTTCGGCTTCTTCTTTATTATTAGGATTTTTGTCCGGATGCCACTTTAAAGAAAGTTTGCGATAAGCTTTTTTAATTTCTTCTTGGGTAGAATTTTTGTCTACTTCTAACACTTCATAATAATTCTTTGTCATACTAATAATATCCCCTTGGGGGAACTCCTTGTCGGGCTTCAAATTGCTGCTGCTGAACTTGGTTTAAATCAATCCGCAACTGAGAAACTTTCTCACACTTGCGACATACTTTCTGGATGTTTCGCATACTAATTTCTCTATCTAATAATTGCTGTTTAATTTGGGCGATGTTGTTCTCATGAGTATTGATATTATTTTGGTTATGGCTTCGGCGAGCCTCAATTAGCCTTCCATAATACCTATTTAAATTGTTTATTAGTTGTAAATTAATTCCTAATTGCTCG